TAAAGAAAATAAATAAATACATACATGTAAAATGTTCCAGCGAGATATTTATGATTAGTTAAGCTTTTCTTATTGGCAGAAACCGCGAAAGGGGTCTTTTTGCTCGATTTTATGAGCTATTGTAATGTTATATTGTCGAAATGTCGCCAACAGGAGCATTTTGACGCTTTTGGAAGCAAAAGGGTTAACGCATTAATAGAACTTGCGAGTACTCATTGTGAGGTTAAGACTTCTGCGTTTTGTAGATCACGGATTTGAACTTCCGTCTAATAGGATTGATAATGCATGGAAATGCCAACTAGGACTGTTCACTTGGTTTCTCTAAATTCTTAGATTCGGTGTAGAAAATGGACACTAGAAGCAATGTTTTTGTAGGTTTTTGTTTTCACAAAAGCCAGGTCCGCCCAGGTCTTCAAGTTTTGAAACCTAGACGCTAAGGTCGTCCATTTTTTTTGCTTAATCAATAGGGGTGTCGAACCTTTAAAAAAAAGGTTATCTAGCTTTATAAATAAACAAAAATGCTCTCCTTAACTTTAAATACCTGTAACAACCCGCAGGGGCTATACGGGGGCCTCAATTAAGGAAATGTCGTATGGCTATGAAAGTGGTAGACGACGCGACACCACTACTGTATATGAAATTGCGAAGTTTGAGCTTGCGATCAATTCTAGATGGCCAGTAGCGAGCATGCCAACTTCTCGGTTGGAAAACCTGCTAGACGGTTTCTTTTTTATGGACCTCTAAATGGCAACAGTGGCAAGAGCTGGATATTGATCCAGCTCTTTCGACAATATTATGTTAAGATGGGAAGCATATTTTCTGTCACAATCGCTTACCTTGTCAAACCTTGTCGGAGATGTCGTTTTCAACAACCCATTGCGATCTTCCGCTCATGTAAATGAAACAAGAGCTAGTCCTGACCATCTCAGCTTGGGTTGGCATTTGCGATGATGTATAATAAGACTTATGTTAAAATAGACCGGATCGATTAGAAACTGCCCACTCCACATAGTCAGAGTGGCTGGTTTTTACAGGCATTGCGAGTTAAATGACCTGCGGTACTAGGGGTAAAAGCATCTAGTTGCTATTACATGCAAACTAGATGCCGTCGTCTGACAACTGCCAAACAGAGACCTCTATTCGCTTCATTTTATGCATGAGAAAAGTAAGTCACCGCTGGAGATGACCGATTCTTAAAATAAGATCAGCAGGAATTGATCAACTATATAAGCAACTGTGAAAACAGGTTTGACACACACACGCACCAATGCAGCAACAATAATTGCAGTGGGGCTGCCGTAGCTAACTCCAGAGGAAGACGTACGCCTCAAAGAGTCCCTAAAACCAAGTTTCTTATACGTCTCAAAGAGTCCCTAAAACCAAGTTCCTTATCCGAAGGAAACTTACAGCCCAAAACCAGGGCTCAAAGTTATTAAGAACACAAATAACTTTTATGCTTCAAAACC